TCTCTCTCTTTCTCGCACACGCTCCCCTCTGTCTCTTTCTCTCCCGCTCCGTCCGTCTTCCAGGCGATGGTTATTCCGACCACGGGGTATCTGTATCTCGGGATGCTGTAATTGTGAAGCGTGAATATCGATAGGGGGCCCCCCTCTCGCGGGCCCGCGATATTAATCTCGAGCCGTGCGCCGACGAATCGGCGACTTCGATGCCTCGCGCCACAGACAAGACGGAATCCGGCGCGCAAGGAAAAACTGCCGGCCATAGTGTGTCCGCTCGGTGTCGTGCTTATTCCACTTACACCTTCCGACGGATAGAAAATTCTCCGATCGAGTGTCGAGCTTCCGCGGGATTGGCGGAACCGTGTCAAATATATGGCCACTGTCGCAGGACAATAAAACGATACCGACGATGCGCGATCGTGGATACCGTTTTGAAAATGGCTACTCGTTTCGCGTCTAAGAAGTCACCGGTATTTGCAACGCGTGTGCACTTCTGCCTCCGCGAGATTCGAAGATATAACGGTTGTAAATGTATACGTTATTCTTGTCGGGTATTTCGCGAAATATTTTCCGATATTATATTCCTTTATAAATACATTCTCTCGTCATATTTCGATATTAATTCTTTTTCGATGTTTATAAATACATTTTAAATAAATACGAACGAAAAATCGAAAATAGCTGTCCTCTTCTGGTCACGATCACTCCGTTGCCGGGGAGGTTAGGAATCACGCGAGTTCCCTTTTCAGACGAAATATCTGAATAATGATGATCCTTTCGATCCCGTTTCGTTGCTCGATAGAGCTGGAACGCAGTCGCGGGTAAACTATTTTTCGCGTGTTAATTAATGGGATTTCGTATTTATAACAAATCTAAATATTCCTCCGAGTAAATCATCGTTTTTTCCACTTTGTTTGTTCCTTTTCGAGTAACGCGAAATATCGAAAGTACGATTATTCGTGTCGCAATGGTAACGATATATTGGCCTGGCAGAAGTGATATAGGTTAGCGATGTTAAAGTATTTTATAGCGCGTGCATGTGTTGGTTCCAGAGCAGATCTGCTTTCAAAGTTATTGCTATAGTAAACCTTACTGCGCTATTCATTAGCAGCACAGAGGTATAGCGATAAACGTTGACTTACCAATTACGACGAATTTTAATATTAACACGCTCCACATCGCCGAGCAAACAGGAAAGTTCTCGAAAGGAACAGTCCGGCAATTTTTCAAAGACACGTCGCCGCGGATGAACACCTTTCGCCCCGATACTATCGTGGTGCCATCTCGCACGACACCGGCGAACTCGCGGAAGCCGTGGAAAAAATCTGCCCGAGTTTTTTCCAAAATACGCTCACCATTTTCCCGGCGTTGTCGACGTACGTAAATCGATACACCTCGAGAAATTCCAGTCGACTTAAAGTTACAAAATGGACGGGGTTACGCGCATACGCGACGCTTCACCCACGTACATCGATAGGTTCGGAGAAAATTACGGTGCTCCCTTTTAGTGCCATAAATCAAGCTCGAAATTAAGAATTTCAGCGACTAGAAGGGAAGACGAGCTCGTTCGTCGAGCAAACGCTAAGGGCATTCAACAAATTTCACGGTGTCTGTCGATAAATCAGTTTAAGCATTCAGTCGATGAGAAAGGGGGTGGTTTTGCGGTGTAACAGGTGGTTGAAATTCTCATTCGCCGCGCCTTTTTACTCCTTTATCGGCAAAAAAGGAAAGAATAAGTTCCAGTTTATGAATCGGAGCGCGTTTAACGCTTCTTAAAAGGATAAAGCCGCCCCGACGGCTTTTTCAACAAGGGAAATTGCTCAGCCTTTTACGAGACTGCGGGACATATCGATAGAGACCAGCTCAGACGCCTTTTTTTCCCCTCCTCTCCGCCTAATGAAATTTATATATCACGCGGCGACTCGTTTCCTTGCGGCGATTTTTATCCGTCTCTTTTATCGACACGGGGACACGGGAAACGAAGAAAGAAACTCACAAGGTATTCGTTTCGTTTTATGTTCGGCACACGAACGTTATCACAAACTGGCGATAATTAACTCGATCCGTAACGACCATCGCATTCCGTCGCCGGATCAAACGTCACACCTATAAATTCCTTAGATTAGGCTACAAATTAAATAAGATCGACGACTATTTACAAGATTATTCACAGTGTAACACCTGTCGTACAAACGGTACGTTTAAAGCTTGGGTAGTCTTCGCATGCGAGGATACAGAGTTGCGTCTTCTTCTCCTAGTCTCCGGTTTCGCTCCGTTTAAATACTTCTTAAATACTATTTTAAATTACTACGACTACTTGCGAAAGACCCACGTTAATAACGAGCATAACAGTCGCGATCCTTATATCGTAATACATGCATCGTAATCGTATTAAAACTAGCTTCAATCGTGTTTCAAAAACGACACAATTACGTCTATACCAAGGCACGCTATCGAGTTTCGGAAATGACGAGCTAAGATCGATGATGGTCCGAAACTACGACGTCTTAGATTCGTAATACTTATTTGTACTAGTCGATTCGCGTCGATACTCGATGTCCGATAATTTAAAGGAAGAAAAGGGAAAAACGGGAAGGTTGCTACGCTAAAATCACCAAGGCCTCCACATATCGCCGTTGGCCCCAGAAGGACCAGCCACCGCTGCAAATTTCATGGGATTAGGATTAGAATTTCTATTAGTCGAGCAAGTCGCTCTGCCCGACAAATCCTCCACGGAAATCGCCTGATCTTCTCCGGATTTTAGGGCGCCGTTAGAAGAATTCACGGTGGAACTGATAGGTTCCTGGTACCTGGCTTTCTTATCAGAGATTACTAGAAGACCGTCGGAATGGTGCCTCTTGATGGACTCTTTCCTCGGGGTAGCGGAACCGGTACGATTGTACGTTTTGTCGGTGATCACCGAAAGCGGTTGTCTCAAGTTGTGCATAGTCATTCCGTTGCTGTTCAACGTTTCCGAGGAGTCCGCGGAATCTTTTCTGGATAGATAATTCGCGTCGGACTTGGGTTCGGTGAAGATCGGTACCGGTGACTTGCTGCCGCTGGTCGAACTGATCTGCGGCTTCTGAGTCTCGGGCGAGGAAGAGAAACTCTTGGAGGAAGCCGGACTCTGACCGGGAATCTTGAATCGACGTTCCCGATGATTAGGCGAGTGTGCCTGAGGGTAGTGTTCGGGCTGATGACTTTCTTCGCCGCAGCTGGACGTGGACGTGGATGGGCTCAACAGTGGACTCTGTGGCCTGTGAACGGAAGTGAAAGCGGAGGATTGTCCGATTTTGGAAACGGCCTCGGGAGCTGGGGGAAAGAAAGGAAAGTTTGCCGAAATGGCCGCCGACTGCGGTACCAAAAGAGCTAGCTCTCCGGTCGGCAGTCTGCTAGGTATCAACTGAACGCCGTTTGGTATCTGTATCCTGGCACTTCCATTATTATTCTCGTCGCCATTCTGGAAATCGCTCTGGAAACCGACCTTCACCTCCGGATAGAGCCGTTCCGGCATGTAGGGCACGTAGTGGCTGTAGAATGGCGCCATTTGCTGGAGATTGCTAACGCAATTGTTCAAATGTGATACCAGTCGTTGCTTCACGACAGGGTCGACGTTCTCGAGGTGGCTGACGTACCGCGATACTTCGGTAGCACATTCAGAAAATCCGGTACGGAATTTCGTTAGCACCGCCGGATCGGTAGCGACCGCCGTGCTCAATTGCTGACGCTGTACCGCCTGTAAATGCTTCACCGTCATTTCGAGGATATCGGCCTTCTCGAGTTTCGAATGCCTGGTTGGCTGCAACGAGAAAAATTATCGCTTTGTAATTCGCTATTCGTGTTCCGAGTACCTTTTACCTCGTTAATTTCAATTTTCAACTCGTATCGCGAGTTTCAACAAATTTTTTCGTACAATACGATACGATGCTAGGGTAAAAAGCAATCCTAGAACGCGGTCGGTAATACAGAAAGCCGGCGGGGCTCGGTCGGCACCGAGAACTCTGTTTTATCGGCCGACGGTATCGAATCGCGGGAAAATTACTAGGATGAAAAAGTCATTCCCGACTTGTTCGAAGCATAGCAATCACTGAGACGGCCCGAGGGTGCGTTTCGCGAGCGAGCATGAATACCGATCGCTCATCCAAGAAATCCGTGACGCCTCGGTAACGCCCACGTAATTGACTTGATACGACCTGTTACCTTAATAACAGGCTACCAACTTCGGTAGCTAGTGCAAGCAATTTTGTAGTTAGCCTACGGCCACGCGCGTTCAATTCTAGGGAATTCTTTCTCGTCCTTCCCTATCGCGTAACTTCTATGTCGCCCTTATCGGCTGCATACAAATCGTTTTTTAAACGTCCAAAAGAAACCACTCGGGGGAACGATATTCATATAAATTAGAAACGTGTTCCCGGAACACGGCGACGAGGCATACGCTTCCTCTTCAAGGGGAAATTGTTGCGCGTAAGAGGAAAAAAGATAAAGAAAAAAAGGAAAAGAAGCAACCTCGTCGTGGGAACCCGTTAGAAGTTCGAAAGTGTCCCGAAAGCTTTTTTTCCGAACCGTGGAGCACGACACCAGCCCTTTCAATATTCCACGGATTGCCAGCGACCTTTTCAGAGGATCGATCGTTCAATACCGATGCACTCCTACAACCTCGAAATCCCATTGTGCCCTTTCTGCACCACGGTCTCTCGTCCCAGGATCAGCCGAGTGCTCGCATTTTTATGGTAAACTAGCGGTCACCTTTAAAATAGGCGTGGGAGTCGAAGAAGAGATCGCTTACACGGCCCATTCAAGCTCTTCCCTCCTCCCCTATTCTGCGTATGAACGAGCTTCCATCCGAACGGGAACGAGTTCGTAAACTGGAACAAGCCTCGAGATTACGGTCAAAATTGCAAATGGCGAAAAACAAATTATCATTTTCATCGGTGGAAAGCGAACGCGTCTCTCGATAAGATGGACCGAGAGGCTATAAGGTCGAAGAGAATCGATGCGGAAATCGATTTTCTCGTGGACGAATTCGACACCCGAGCAGATCGGAGGAACGAGACACCTGCTAAAAGAGCAACTAAAAGCCAAAGGCGTCGAGCATCCCCTTTTTTCCGCTCTTTTTTCCTTTTCCCTTTTTTCTCTCTCTCTTTTTACACCGATCGGCGCCGTCTTCGCGAAGCTGGATCCTTAAAGATGATACGGTCAACAAAGGAAGGCTGCAACCCGAGATGAGATTCTTTTTTCTTCGTAATAATTATTTCGAGGTTCCCACGAACGCGGGGGGCGTTTCGTACGGGCGAACAGGACGGACACTGGAGCGAGCAGGTAGCGGAAGTCATCTGGACGAGGAGGAGAGAACGGTGAGAGCGCCTCGCTCTCTCGTTATAGTCCTGTCTGAGAAATCAATCTCGCTGGATCGAGTTACGCGGCGAGGAGTACCGTGTCCTCGGATGCTGAGAGGAAATCTCGCGATACCGATCGAAATTTTTCAATCGAAAATCCATTTTTCGATCACCCCCTGCGCCACTGCCTAGCGCGCTATTTTTTATTTACCGCGGAAATTAAAAAATGGGAAGTTGCTTCGACGCCTGTATTTTTTAATATCCCGATATTATACTCCGGAAGCTATATCGGGGGTCTTTCAAACCGGCCAATGTTCCGGGTACCGAAATTTTAACGTCGCGCTCGGCGTTGGAATTCTTTGATTTCCTCGATATTAAAATTCTTCCATTTTTCTATTTTTTAATTAAATTCGAACGCAAATTAAGAAGCATCGAATGAACGGAACGCTGAGTCGAATTCGAGCGTTTTATTTCTCGATGTCGGCCGTTTAATTAGCCAACGGGGAGCTTAAGCAAGATGCTAATCGATTAGCCGGGTTCCCCCAGTCTAAGAATAAACTGTCGAATATTTCAGACGTAATTATAATCTGGTTAAGACAGGGATTAAGTGGAATGTGGCCAAGAGCACGGGTTAGGCACACCGTGGAGCGGGCTGAAGTGCCATTGTCGAGTCTCCAGTGGAGATTACGCGTTGGCTGAGGACTTCCACCATCCGTTCCCACGGCGAGGCATCTAAAACGCTAAAACAAAACCCGTCCACCTCTTGCTACCGCTAGTCCCGATTCTACGGTCGAAAAACAAATGGTGTCGCGCAAGAGGAAGGCGGCGAGTGAAAAAGGAGACGGCCTGATCAAACACTTCTAGCCAACATCCGCTGCACGGCTCTTCCTATCAGTTTAATTAAAAGATCGACTCTTGACCTTTATGCTGACAGTACCGAAACAATCTCCACCGGCTGATGCTCCATATAGCTCATCTGCCGATTATAATTTCGACCAATCTCAATTGTCATTCGACAAGACACGCGTGTATATGCGAATTGGAGTAAGAAGAACAACACGATGGGAGATCGTATGGAAGATATTCGAACAGTTCAACGAAAGAATAGAGTAATTAATATAACGCGTGTAATTAATATTTATCGTACTGGTCACACCGAGTAAGCACTACTGATTCCACTTTGCGTATCACGAGTATTTGAACCGATTACTTTTACACACTTTCGCAGTGCGTGAAAGCATTACGAATATTTATTTATTTATTTATACGGGATTAACCCATTAGAAAAATTACGGGAAAATTATTACAGTCAGGTGTAAAATTAATGGTAACAAAGAAAAATAAAAATATTATATAGAAAGTACGATAAACATGGTTACCCACGTTGGTATATAACCAATATAAGACGCAAAACCTCCTTTCACCTTATATAAAATATTCTATGTACTACCCAAACTATATAAAAAATTTCACATAAAAATTAGAAATCATCTAACCCCAAATTTTGCAAAAGGAAGTGTGATAAAGTCATTACGAAGAATTAAATCTCCTCGAAAAAATTCCGCAAAACTTATTAATAACCCCTCTTCCGAATTAACATTAAGGAAAATGAAGAAACGATGGATTAATAAAATACCTAGAATTAAAAAACCTAGAATTATAGATAGGGATGAAGATTCAAGGAAATAGGAATTTTCTAAAAGATATAAGATAGAAACGACTGAGAATCGCGTAAAAAGAAGAACACATGGACCCGATCCATCGAGGAAGATTTGCAGCGGAAATTTATCAAAAATCAGCGATAAATCTGGCACGGTGAAACCGTGAAAGCGCGAAATCGCGTGAGCGGTAGTAGCGAGGAGAACAAAATCTCGGCTCGGGGTCGGGCAACGAGAGAGGCTGCACATATTTTCGCGTTATCTCTCGTAAACTCGTATCACGTCGCTAGATAAGTCGTGCACCGGTCACGTTTTCCGCGGCACGTTTCGGGCGCCGGCGACAACGTGGATTCCACGGGCACCGGGCTGAAATCACGCGTGTAGGCGCGCACACGCTCGCCTACCGTTTCGCGCGAGCGTTGCTCGTCGCTCGTCAGAAATCGCCGCCTGTCGTTTCGCCCGATTAAGCGATTAAAACACTTTTTTCCCCGGCCGCGTGGCGTGTAATTGGCCTCACCGACCGATCGATCGCGCGGAAATCACTGTTATCGAGAGACTGATAAATGGCGCCCGACAGATGGACAATCACGCTACTCACGTCTTTTTTCATCGCCTCGAGTATCAGGCTCTTCAGCTCGTCCAGACACTGATTTATCCGAGCACGCCTCCGCTTCTCCATGATCGGTTTGTTGCTCTGCAATTGGGCAATCGTTTCAGTTATGGGCAACCTTCCACGGTCTTTTGGTATTACGGTGTTCCTCGCGTGATTCGTGGAAAAGTCTCATAAGAATTCGCGCTTCTTTGATCGTACTAAATTACAATGAAATATCGTATGATATTTGCATAATATTCGATATGGTAAAATTTAAATTGAAAAAGAAAAAAAAATGGAAATTGAAATATAAAATTACGTAAACAATTCTCTTGCTTTGAATTACATAATTTACACGTGGCTATGTAGGAAATATCTTTGACCATTATTTTTCGAATTTTTTTCTGCGTTTATATCTTTAAATTGCAACGAGTTAAGTAATTATTGGATAAGGTTGTTAAGAAAAGATAGGCGAAATGTTTTCGTAAGATGACAGTCGCGAATAAATATCCACGATCCACTAACCCCCTGCCACAACCACGCGAGGACGAAAAAAAGCGGGCTCCAAACTCATTTTTACCCTTCGTAGCTCCGCCTTGGTCATCCCTGACTGCGAGTGCGATTCGGGTTCCTCCTCGCTGCCTGACATCTTGTAATTATAGTAATCCACCATTTATGCACTCTGATATCGAATCACTGACAACGAACCACACAAAACTCCGATTCGTACGTGCTCGAATATTATTCCTCCTCAACGAGCCCGCTTGCCGAGGTTCACGTGCATGCGAACTCGATTTCGACTGGTCTGCAGTCCCATGGACGAACGGTTCGCACCGGGTCCCCCGTGATTTGTCCACGCGAAGTGTCGCGTCGATGAAACTCGAATCGGAGAACCTTGCCAGAGAAGGGGATGATCGCCGCTACCGGCGACGTCCCTCTTGGGGTGTGGAGGGTAACTGTTTGACGTTTTCGATTTCGAAGACCGCATGCCGATGCACTCAGCGTGTCTAGAGTGGGGTGAAGTGCGTTCTGGAGTGGGGTTCCGGGATACCACGGGAGAGGGGAGGTCCCCGGTCCTCCTGAGACCTGTTGATGTGTGGGAATTCACGCCGTCCCCTGGGACGCAGCGACATAGTCTCCTTCGAAATTCGAGTCCCTCCTTTGCTCCTTCTTTCGTCGTCTTACACCAAACTCCACTCGATGGGAGACTTGGAAAAAATTGGAAAGAAGATCGGCAGGTATTACGTGCTCAATTCGTATTTCGGCCGCTTTTCAGCTGGAGTAGTTTGTTAAATTACTCCTCGAAAATGAAAGTAAACGCAAGTACTTGGACGAACATTTTCCGAGTTTACTAGATAATGAACTTGGAGCAAGTATTTTAACGATGGAAGAAATTAACAGGGGCAGTTATTGAAGTATTAAGAGACAATTTTTTGAAGGAATACAAATTTTTAAATACGAAAAATCTTTTCCTGCAGAAAATTCCAGCAAATATTTTAACGATCGAAGAAATTAACAGGGGCACCTATTGAAGTATTAGGAGACGATTTTTCGAAGGAATACAGATTATTTTCTTTTCTCGGAAAATTATAGGGAAAAGTCACTGGCATGGAATATTATCGGTTAATATAAGGCGACATGTAGCCATAACTGTAACTCCTATTATAAATTCGTATCGCGGGAAGCGAATAACAAGTAATTAAAAACTGATAGAGCACGGCACATCGTGTCTGCGTGACTGCGAGGAGAAATAAAATTTCTTCTACCCGCTGTCGATCGAAAACGCCGTGTCACGCAAACGTGTAATATTCGAAAATAAAATTTCCAAATTCCCCCGAAATTACGGGCCACGCGATCGGTTAAAAAATGGCCGGACATTGAAATTCGAGTCGTAAAGTAACGGTAATTTGGATTCGTTCGTTGGACCGAATTTTACGATTACCCGTTCGGGACTGAATCTTTTATCAACCGAAGCGAAGGATCGCGATCGAAATCGCTGCGTGGCGGTTTTTGCGCGCAGTTCCGGTAATCGTGCACGATATCGCGTTTTCCCATGGGGTTGCGTGCGCGGCGCGCGCGTTTCTCCGCGCGGTCGTTGCGTAAAAGAAAGAGTTCATTGATGAAACCGGCGGGCAAGAGCGTTCGCGGTGCATGGCCCAGCGAGTAAACACTGTTTAACGTTTCAGAAGAATTCCCACACAGGGCCCCCATCGTCCCGTATGCATCGTCGGCGTCGTATCGCGTTGCGCGCGCCAGCCACACTTATGACGCACGGACACACACGTCCGGCACACGGTGTGCTTCCGTCCTCTACTGATCCACGCAGTCTCTCTCGCACTTGCGCCATTAAGCGCGGCACACGGTTGGGGTCGATCCGTGGCTGCCTGCGATCGCAGCGATCAACTGGCCTCTGGCAAATGCCCCTTGGACACGTTATTTCTTTTCTCCTTTCGTGCTTCCGACCCCTTCTTTTCCAACTTGTAAATTACGAATATTGGCAAGAGTTTTTTCATCGCGATGAAATACGATACAAGTCGATTGCGACACGCGAGTTTTAAAGTTTCTCCAATTTCCTCGATTCGTAACGAAAACTATCCTTGTCGATCCTTCCGAGGGTTTAACACTTTATTAAACAGTTTGGAAGTTGGCAGATTCTACCCGTTATGAACCTAAGCTTTACGTATTTGCTCATCTCGAGTCATGACTCGGTACAGGAATTACGTTCAACTGTTCACGTGTATATTACGTTCAATGTATCAATCTTCACCTGTGGAGGTTAAATTTATAAATTCCTTTCGAGATTTTAACTGACATTTTATTAAACAATTTGGAAATTGGAAGATTCTATCTGTTATGAACCTAGACTTTACGTAAGTCATGACTCGGTACAAGAATTACGTTCAACTGTTCACATCCATACCATGTTCAATGTATCGGTCTCCACCTGTGGAGGTTTTAACTGAAATTTTATTAAACAGTTTGGAAATTAGGAGATTCTACCTGTTATGAACTTAGGCTTTACGTGAGTCATGACTCAGTACAGGAATTACGTTCGACTGTTCACGTGTATATCATGTTCATCGGTCTTCACCTGTGGAGGTTAAATTTATAAATTCCTTTCGAGATTTTAACTAACATTTTATTAAATAGTTTAGGAATTGGGAGATTCTACCTGTTATGAACTTAGGCTTTACGTGAGTTATGACTCAGTACAGGAATTACGTTCGACTGTTCACGTGTATATCAGGTTTAATGTATCGGTCTCCACTTGTGGAGATTAAATTTATAAATTCCTTTCGAGGTTTTAATTGATTAAATTCCTTTCGAGATTTTAACTAACATTTTATTAAACAGTTTAGGAATTGGGAGATTCTACCTGTTATGAACTTAGGCTTTACGTGAGTCATGACTCAGTACAGGAATTACGTTCAACTGTTCACGTGTATATCAGGTTTAATGTATCGGTCTCCACTTGTGGAGGTTAAATTTATAAATTCCTTTCGAGGTTTTAATTGACATTTTATCAAACAGTTTGGAAATTGGGAGATTCTGCCTGTTATGAACCTAAGCTTTACGTATTTGCTCACCTCTAGTCATGACTCAGTACAGGAATTGCATTCAATTGTTCACGTGTATATCATGTTCGAAGACCCTTTCAATATATCGGTCTTCATCCATGGAGGTTAGATATATAAATTATTTGTTATAAATTTATAAATTATTGAAATATTATTTTGCACGTGCTGCTTTCGTCTTTTTTCTCTTTTTGTATATTATTGAAATAAATGTTAAATATCAAGCGTTAAAAGATATTTATTGGGCCCGATGGATGCGCTATTTGTAACGAGGGCTAACAAAAATGAGCAGGACCCCTGTCTGACGCGCGGCACGCTTACGAGCAGTAACACCTTGTCAATAAACGCGTAAAACTATAAAAAGAGAGACGACTTACGAGGATCGCCGCGCATCCACGGCGAACCGGCAAGCATGTAGACGCGAGACAATAAACGGCGGACATTTGTTTCGTTGACAAAATCAGTTACAGCCCATTTCAAGAGGCAATGGCCGCCGTAATAAACAGATAAACCTTTATGACCCGCGATTATTGCACCGGAAAACTTTTACTTTTAGAGGCCCCGGACTGGCCGTTGCCGGCATTCCGACTTTATACTATACATAAACGTCCCTTTGACCCGTTGATTTATTTCACCGCCTCTCGTCGGGCAGTCCTCACCGATTTCGGTATAGATACGGAAGTATGTTCGTTAGATAAACCGTGATTAATGTTCTGCCCCGAAATAATGCTACTATACGTAACTATACGCATTTCCAGCGAAATTGTACGCGTTGTTTAACATTGTCCTGGAAATAACACTTCTGCTTGTCGAATCGACTGCCTCCACGAATAAAAGGTAGAAATTTATTTTATAAACAGAAAGCTAAATATTCTGAAATTTTGAAAAATTCGGAACGCATAGTCAAAAGCACTATAGCACTAATATTATATCGAATTGAAAAATTTGTTTCTAAATTTAGTTACGTTGATCAAAGTGTATTTAACGAATCTGTGTTACAATTCAAAATAGAAGATGTTAAATTCTACCCCTGAAAATTAAAGGAATCCATTATTCGACATCCGATTTGTGTCATTTCCGAAGGAAGATACGGATATCGTTTGATCGTTGCTCTAAATCGAAGAGTGGACGAGATATTTTTCATTTCAAACTAAATCGTCACGATCGAAGCAAATTTCACGAACGCACTGCTGGCCAAAGACTCGATTTAAAGGCGTCCATTGTCGAGCATCCGCGTTTGATTTCACACGCGAAACGAGCGTGTTACCCGCGAGATAAACGGGAACTTCGTTTCGAGTTGGGCTAAACGAAACGTTTATATCGAACGAAATTTTCTCGCGGTCGAACGTTTCCACTGAACCGGCATCGAAATTTCATCCCCGTCGCTGCTGATCACCGGCAATGCGAGCACGCGAATTTCGAGCGCGCGCGATATTTGTCGAAAAATTAAATTTGCATGCCACGGGCTCAATGTGCTTCCCATTATTCGATATTTGAGCTAAATTTTACGGGACCCATCCATGTTTACCGAGATTCAACATCGACGAATTAAACTTCAAATATTTTGCCTGCAAAAACACCACGCCTTTGACGATTTGAGCATTACGAATCCTCGTTCAAAATCAAGGCCGAAAATCCAGGGTTTCTGGCGGCAATGAAATATGCAAAGATACCTGTATTTCCTTTGATTGGATTTAAAATTTTCTCCTAATTAATATTTTAATATTTCTATGAAATATGTAAAGATACCTGTATTTCTTCTTTTGAATAGATTTAAAATTTTCTCCTAATTTATATTTTAATATCTCTATGAAATATGTAAAGATATCTATATTTCTTCGTTTGACTAGATTTAAAATTTTCTCCTAGTTTATATAGTAATATTTCTATGAAATATGTAAAGATACCTGTATTTCTTCTTTTGACTGGATTTAAATTTTCTCCTAATTTATATTTTAATATTTCGGTTTCACGATTTACTTCAACAGAGTGACTGACACGCAAGTTTTACACGATGCTTCCAAATAGTTGGACTAGAATTTTGATTACAGTAGTATACCGTGCCATTAAATTTGCGTAATTCATCACGTGTCAATTA